CCAAACCAGCAACAACACCCCTCCATCCCTCATCTCCACTATACTCCAAACCGAACACCACGAACATGAAGGATTCAAGGACCTCATTCTCCTTGATCTTGAGATGGCCGAACCCACTGCCCCTCCCAAACAGCCCCATCCTCTAGCCATCTCCATCCTTGAACAATATGCCCACGTCTTCCCCGAAGATGTACCACACGGCCTGCCCCCAAAAAGAGACCTCCAACACAAGATCGACCTCATTCCCGGGGCTGCCTTACCAAATAAACCAGCCTATAGAATGAACCCGGAGGAAACAAAGGAGATACAACACCAAGTGGATGAACTACTAGCGAAGGGCTTTGTTCGTGAAAGCCTAAGTCCTTGCGCTGTTCCGGCCTTGTTAGTACCAAAGAAGAACGGTACGTGGAGGATGTGTTGCGATAGCCGAGCCCTTAACAAGATCACCATCAAATATAGGTATCCTATACCTAGGCTTGAGGACATGCTGGATGAACTCCATGGTTCTAAGATCTTTTCGAAGATTGATCTTCGAAGTGGTTACCACCAAATTCGTATCTACGAAGGGGATGAATGGAAGACCGCGTTCAAAACGAAGTTTGGCCTCTACGAGTGGTTGGTTATGCCATTTGGGCTGACCAACGCCCCGAGCACATTCATGCGGTTGATGAACCAAGTCTTGAAGCCATATATAGGTCATTTTGTCATAGTCTACTTTGAGGACATCTTGATTTACAGTAAGAGTGAAGAAGAGAACATTAACCACCTCACCTTAGTGGTTAAAAGATTGGACGAAGAGAAGCTCTATGGGAATCTGGAGAAGAGTCATTTCTTCTCTCAAGAAACAGAATTCTTGGGATACTTTATCTCGAGTGATGGTATCAAGGTGGACGAAAGTAAAACACAAGCCATAAGGGATTGGCCCATTCCCACGTCGATGCAACAAGAACGGAGTTTTCACGGTCTAGCCTCATTCTACCGAAGGTTTGTGCGTGACTTTAGCACCACCACTGCACCCATCACGGATCTCACCAAAAACCAGAAGTTCGAATGGAATCCAAAAGCTCAACAAGCCTACGAATCCATCAAAAAAAGGTTGACACACGCCCCCGTGTTAGCCTTACCGAGCTTTGAGAAACTGTTTGAGGTAGAATGCGATGCATCCGGAGTCGGGATAGGGGCTGTCCTCACCCAAGAAGGCCACCCGGTGTCCTATTTCAGCGAGAAGTTGAATGATACAAGAAGGCGATATTCAACTTATGATAAGGAGTTCTATGCACGAAAATAGTATTTAATCATCTTATAAAATGTGATTTCAATGAATAAAACTCTCATTTTCGTTCTAAGAGTCATAAAATGGGATTCCACATTAAATTATCATAAATCATCCATTTTATGTTCAAATACTTGAGAAAAAGGGAATAAATCATCAAGGGATCAAGATTCGGGCTTGAACGAGCTTCCGGGAGGTCAAAAACAGT